AGATACATTATTTCATTTTCTCTTTCTGTTATATTAATGCTCCTGGAACTTATCGGATTTGTAAGTGGAGCTACAATGTTTATAAATGTACATAATGTTATATGTAAGTCAGAAATAGTAAAACAAACGTCTCTGTAGCTATTTCTTGTCATTTTTCTGGTGTAATACTAACTGCACACTTTATAATAAAATGCTGGAAGATAAGTTCCTACTGGTACAGCTTTGCATTCACCATATGTTTACCACTGGTTTTGGAATGTTGGAACGTCATGTCGAAAGTTTGGTTCAGAAACAGTTTGTAATAAAGGTTATTTATAATAAGCAATTACTTTTTCAACGTTTATTTATTGTCTCTACGCAGCAATATTACATGGGCAGAGTGAATTCGGAGGTATTTTGTATGTTTTCAAAGTTTCTCCTTGTGTTTGTTTTCACCGAACGTTTAACCACAACAAGAAAGCAGACCTGTGATTAGCTGTAATCGTAAGTCTATTCAGTTTGGATAATCGGTTAGAGTTCATGTAGACAAAAAGTCATATTCGGGTTTTTAGAGAAAGTGCCTTTTATATACGCCTAAAAATTGTGATAGCTAACAATAAGTTCATATATATGATAAAACTCGACATACTTTTGAGTATTTTGCACTAATTTCCGAGTACCCCGCGGTCTGAAGGATGTCCCTTTGTTGTAAGATACAGTCGATGTTTTGCGACTTCAGTTTAACTCGGACTAAGATATACAGAGACAAAGCAATACAGTTGTAGACTCTTGAAAATTCGTCAGTCAAAAACTTTCTCCTAGTATAATGTAATGAGTAAACGTACAACAAACATATTTGCTGGTTTAGTCACTGTGCTATTACGAAGCAGATACCAAATCACTCATAGTCCAAATTAAATCTGGAATAAAAGTGCATCAGCCTAAATTACTATACTACCTTGGCACGAGGTTAAAATTATCAAAATGAACTTCAATCGAATCAAGATAATAATAGTACCATTTACACTAAAGTATATAAGTATTGAAAATACGGTTCGAAAAGAAATCCCATGCGGATATACGCGAAAAAAAATCGAACCCAATACACAGAGGAATATAAAGAGTTAATGCATTTGCGACCAATTCTTAGCCATTTTGCTCAGTATCTCCAACTACTTAACATAATTACCGCTCAGACCGTCAGGAGGTATTCGGGAATAAATGAATAGAGATAAACAAAACTGAGTCAGACAACGGTTCTGAGAAAAGGGTAATCCAGCCGGCTGAACTGGTTCTCAGCAATACTAGAACTAACTGGATAGCTAAACTACCAGCTTTTAAATAGCTGCTCCTCCAGCCCCTTATCTGTAACTTCCAACTCATCCTTTGTAGCCAATATTCTCATAAACACGCAGGGTAGCAAATTGAATTTAGTCGACTAAAACATAAGAATATTTTTTAAATCAGGATGACAATGATGGTGTTCTCTCAAACGAATGATTTGCTTGTCAAGGTTTTGTCTTTCTGGATCACATCTCCAGCACGTACTTGAAATACATGCTCATGATTTTGCCAAGAAAGGTGATGACTTTACTTTGGTGACTAATCTTATGTAATGAATGTAGTCTTCCAGGATTACTCGTGCATCATATTCGAAACAGAATAGACTAAATTAGTAACATAAGACCACATACAATTAAAATACACGAACAAGCCGTAATGAGCCTACTTCCTTTAACGAATGTGAAGTATCTGTCAATAAGTTCACTGAGAACAGCTTTTCATCCTTAAGAACGACCTTGGCTCGTAATCTAGTGCCGAAATGAATATGAATGTGCGTTTCACAGACTATTGTTTGAAAGCGATTAAGATACATAATAATAATGTTGTTGAGTCTTTTTTAAGAGCTATGGCGAATTCTAAAATATTGTATTCCGGTAAATCTGAACGAATAAAAATGATATTTATCCTGTCATCTTTAAAGCTATTTTACTGTCCAGGAACGAATTCAAAGATAACCAAACCAACGATGGACTCAAATAGACCATATTACCATTATTCGTCTTTAGAAAGGGTCGACAGAGGACTGTCACTCATTCTGGAATACCTGTCTGGACTCCGATCATGCTCTAATACGAGCACGCGTTTGCTTGCGCTTCACTGGACGCAGAAAAACCACTTTAATAAGACATAGAATCGAACCCAGTGACGAGGAAGCCAAAAATAGATTTCAGGAAAAGCTGAGGTCACACTTAAATAGTTCTAAAAACGAGGCTTATCCAGATGTTGCTTGGAAAGATATACACACAGCAGTGACATCTATTTGTGATTTATAATAAAGGGTCACAAAACACCAATGGATTTCTAAGTCTAGTTCACTGATGAGTTCTAGTAAACTCATCCCATCAGGCTCTGAACACGGTGAAGAGCGAAAGCAAATCAGATCTAGGTTAAACAAAAGTCTAAGGAACGACCGTGAGCAGTGGTGAGCAACGAAAACAAAAGAGATGGAAAACGCGAGGGCTGTATGTGATACCCGACAGCTTTTCACACTAATGAAAGAAACTGGAATTAATAAGTCAAGTGTGAGACTATCTCGGGAAAAGATGACACATGTCTGCTCTCAGCCTAGACGTTTAGAACGATGGCGAAACACTTTGAGGGGCAGTTCAACTTACCTTCAGCTACTCTACAACTACCCACCATTCTCAGACAGCGTGAATGGAACATTGAAGTAGGTCCTCCGACTCTATCTGAAGTCCAGAAGTTTATAGCTAATCTGAAACGAGGAAGAGCAGCTGGTTCATATGGATTGGCCCCAGAGGTCTTTACGTAGGCTGGTTCAGTTTTAGCGACTAGGTGGACTAATATTTTAACTAAAATCTGGGAGTTGGACGTAATCACATCTGACTGGTTGCAATAACTGATTGTCCCAATATATAAGAAGGGGTCAAAATCATCCTGTGATAACCATAGAGGGATTAGTTTAACTAATATAGCATCTAAAATACTAGCCTCAATAATAGTCAGGCGCCTAAGTAAGAGTGGTGAAATGCAAACACGAGAAAATTAGGCTGACTCTAGGCGTTCTCGTCCACTGAATTCTCGGGCATTGATCTCGTACCACGAGGTCCAAGATGACATAGTCCTGTTTGGTGATGTTGATAAAATTCAGTCTTTTGGTAGCACTGAGCAACAATGCCAAGAAGTTTGAAATGTGTTTTCCCCCTCTAAATACAAGTAGTTTCTTCAGGACTGGCCTGCGTCAACACCTCAACTAAGGATAGGGAGTGAAGAAGTCGAACGCATCAACAAGCTCACTTATCTGATCAGCCCTAATTGGTTGGTGTCTGACAAAATCTTTGCACTGATTCAGATAGCTCGTTTGGTTTTTGCCAAATTACGTCACATACGACGAAGGTGAGGTATCCATCTGTCAATTAAGAGACGAATATACTGCGCAGTAGTTCGTTCTGTTCTACTTTATGGCTGAGAAACGGTCATTAAGAAGAGAAGATACTCGTAAGCTACTAGTACTTGATGACAGATGTCCTAGAAATATTGCTCGCATCTGCTAGGATCACAGGATAAGTAATAGTGAGGTTAGACGCAGGGTATTAGGGGATGATGGTAAATCAGTTGATGAGGTTGTGAATCTTCATCGACTGAGGTGGTTGGACCATGTGTTGCATATGCCTGAACACAGATTACCACGACGCGCAATGCTAACCGATGTTGGGGATGGTTGGAAGAAAGTTGGGGGTGGCCAAACCAAAGCGTGTCATCAGTGCTTGAAGTCACTAACTTCTAGTCTTAGCCATGTTGGTAGATGCAGACTCTCTGGTTGGGGTCCGCGTGACTATCGTAACCCATGGCTGGAGACTGTGGGTAACATGGCTCAAAATCGATCACAGTGACGTAGGTATATACACTCATTGTCTGCCCATAAACCGTGAGATTAAAATTATTTTATATCTTTCTTTCTACGAACTAATTATTTCTCCCTGTGCAATCTTTCTTTTATATATAACCACTATTGAATTAAGTATTTCTATGAATTTGGTGTTTATCTTGTTGTAGTAATGAGGTATGGCAACTTGGACTGATGCACATATGTGCCTGGTCCTATGTCGTAGCTGACTGTACCCGATTACGATAGAAGTTATGTTAATTTGACTGGTACAATACGGACGGGTCATTAAAATATAGCTGTGATGTATTATGTCACTAATGACCTCGGGTAGCTTAACAGATTTTTACACATCAGCGTAAGAAATCGTTAAAGAGCCACCCAGTTTGAATTGAACATCAAAAATACTCGTAAGAGTATTTGGACCAAAATTATCATGGAATAACTTTATACTAAGACTGGAACTCGTACTAAAAAGAAAGCAACAACAATATCGACTAATGTCTTTTGAGGGTAGCTTGACATTCAAATAAAGACAAATGAAACATGTAGATCGGACTATGAGTGTATAATGTAATTATATGCTGTTGCTTAACTTGGCGGAGGTTAACCATCACCATTGGAACTTTGTTTCTTTTAAGGCATCTGGTTAAATGTATTATTCTGGGGTGAAACTGAAATAGACTTTCGAAGTCGCCCACCACAAATGTGTCTTACTCTTCACCATGCATGCACTATACCCTTAGGTATTTGATGACATAAAAAGTGACCTACTTATCAGGCTAAATGAAGGTTTTTTCCATCGGAGATAAGGAGTAGTGCAAAAAAACATTTTATTCTCTATTAAGACTAAATCCCCATGTGTAAGATTTATAATCAGTAAAACTTGCTCTCTTTTAATATTGCCCATAATATTACAAGACGGGTTAGCATGCTTCTGCAATCTAGATATTTTTACCTGTGTATATAATGAAAAGGCTTCTCTCATCAAATATCAGCAATTATAAATACTATTTTCAAAAATTTACAGGTACTTAGTAGATGTTAAACTTAACGTTAGTTGATGGGACACCACCTAGATTCATCGACTAACAAGCAGGAATAGGTATATTTAGAAACTAGGAACTCTATTCAACTTCACTTGGCTTCAGTCATAAGAAACATAGAATGTACTTTCAATTAAGGATATATGAAAATCGAAGTAAACCATATCAATTAACAATAGAACGAACACTTACTTCTTTAAATAAAAGTGAAAACTTGGCAATTGTATACTTCATCATACATGAGAATAAATTATCACATCAAAATGTCAAATTAAAATATGGTTTTAAATCAAAATGAACAACAACAACAACAACAACAAAATATGTAGGACATGTGAAGAAAGTATGTGACAAATTGAGAAAAGATTTAGGAAGAATGAAAGAAGAAAAGAGGAGCAATGCATCGATGTATTCTCTTCTTATAAGCTATAAATATAATCGTATTAGTAAGCATTATATTAGATTCATTGAATTTTATGCCAATTGTATATGTTCTCATTCATAGTAGATACAACAAGTTTTAAAGCTTTAAACCAGACTATACATTTACGTAAGAAAAAAGAGAAGAAACCTAGCAGTTTAAAAATAAGTATAACTGTTTACATTAAAATTCCTAAATGATCATTCACAATATGACTATTCAATAATAATAATCATCATAACAATCATAATGTGAAGATGTTCTTTGAATATGCAGTTCCAATACAAATTTGTCAATGGTTCAGCCATGAGTAGTGCCATTTTTTTTTATAAAAAAAAAATAATAGAATAGAGAACAAGTTGACATTGTTTAAGGCAACAATACAAAACAATCTGGATAAGAGAGAAAGAAAGAAGCTAAAAGGAATTAGAATTTGTTTTCTTTTCATTTATTATTGCCTGGTTGGAGTCTGTGAGAGTATTGTAACCAATGGTTGAAAATATTGGATGACATTAACTTATAATCGGTAGTATTGGCAAAGAATATACTCGCTTTCCGTCTTCACTAGATTTTTGATATTAAAGTAATACCATGTCCTTTTTATTCCATGAATTCACTGCATTAAAATCATATTGTTTACATTCAAACTTGTTGATGTGGTGTGAATAGAACAAGTTGACATTGTTTAAGGCAATAATACAAAACAATCTGAATAAGAGAGAAGGAAAGAAGCTAAAAGGAATTAGAATTTGTTTTCTTTTCATTTATTATTGCCTATAATTATACAGTACTAATATAAATTTCAGGTGATGCTATTTCAGCAGTGGATATTTCCATGTGATTTTCAATTAAAGATAATTCCATTAGATTAAGTTGTTTAGTTATCATAGATGAATCCAATGTATCATTTATATTCATTTGTGGATGTGATTGTAATAATTGTAATTGAAGTGAACTTGATTTTATTTTAGATACTTCTTCTTTTCTGTCTATGTCATTCATATCATTATTATGATTGTCTTTGTCATCGTCATCTTCTTCATCAGTGGTTACATGTCCATTGGATATAATATTTGGATAGTCAATATCGGGTGAAAGACATTCTTGTAAACCTATATCATTTGTTACAGCATATGGCATACAACCACGCTAAGGGCAAAGAAAAAAAGGGAAGTAATAAAGGAGAATGAAATATGGCTTAAAAACTTTTCTACGTTCACTTCTTAAAAAAGATGTCATTATGTATACGTTGACTGAAGTGGTTACAATATGTATTACCCATGACCAATCACGGTCTACATTGATACGCGACATTCGCCGGTGTCAGTCAGTCAGCTACAACGTAGGACCAGGCACATATATGAGGCACATATATGCATTGGTCCAAGTTGCCATACCTCATTAACACAACACGATGAGCACCGGATTCATAAAAGTAAATAATTCAGTGGTGGTTATATATAAAAGAAAGATTGCATATAAGGATATAGTACAGGAAGAAAGGATCAGTTCGTAGAAAGAAAGGTATGAAGCGGTTTTAATCTATTAGTTTAAAGAAAGACAGAGAGTGTATACACCGATGCCATTGTGATCGATTCTGAGCCATGTCACCCACAGTCTCCAACCATTGGTTACGACAGTCACGCGGACCCCAACCAAGTAGTCTGCATCTACCAACATGACTCAGACTAGAAGTTAGTGACTTCAAACACTGATGCCAGCTATCGGTTTATCCGCCCCTAACTTTCTTCGCCGATATAGGAATAAATTTAGGGGTGATCAAAGAAAGATAAGGGTATCAGTTAGTGAAATTATTGATTGAGATAAGTTGGCATACGCACACCACTTGGTTGGAGTCTGTGAGATTATTGTAACCAATGGTTGAAAATATTGGATGACATTAACTTATAATCGGTAGTATTGGCAAAGATATACTCGCTTTTCGTCTTCACTAGATTCTTGATATTAAAGTAATACCATGTCCTTTTTATTCCACGAATTCACTGCATTAAAATCAAATTGTTTACATTCAAATTTGCTGTTGTGGTGTGAAGAATTGGAACGATGTATATATGTGTTCGATTTTACGTCATTTACGACGCGTGGTATCCGAGTTTGATAATGATGTTCAAGAGTTCTTATACGCAAGTTCCCAATCGACTACTGAATGAGAAGACTCAGAGTGAAGAAGGAAGTTTATTGAACTAAAGAGAATTATATATATATATATATATATATATATATATATATATATATATATATATATATATATATATATATATACCTTAGAAAATGAAATCATTTCTTGGCCAATAACATGCACTTATCATTGGAAGGCTTTTGATTGGTTCATTGTATCAGATTTATTGTCACTCTTTTAATCAACTAACAATCTAAAAAATATACTGCTAAATATCAGTGACCCCTAAATCCCCTGGTTGACGGTGGCGAGATTTTGCTCCCTCTTTCAAAATACTCTCATTCAAGTGGCCACGTGTATGCAGCCACTGCAAGGGAAGTCCTACTCACTGCCTACTCGCAGTGAAGTGTTGTTTACGAAATTCAGAGAATGGAAAGCAAATGTCCGGTGCTTTCAACGGTTTGGTGAATACAGGGGATCCACCTAAGGGAATTGGAAGACCGTGATTCCAAACCAATGGTACACATCGGCTCCAAGATCCTGAGGGAACAGAAGGCGTATGAATCTACCGGCTACTATAAGACTGCATCTCCCGACGTTCCTCCACTGCCTTGTGGATTAGACCTCTACGTCAAGGGCTCGAGGAGCAGCTTCCTGGGAAAACCACGTGCTTAAGTTTGAGCGCCTGAACAGAATTTCAGCCCTCACACGAATCAAATGGTTTGTGTTGCGAGGATATATTTTGTGCCTCCTTGGACCAATGTTTACATGTTTAAATAAGTAGTAAATAAATATCGATGTAATTAATTTACAAACCGCAATCATATTTACTCAACTTTGGGTTACACATTTCGTGCGGGGGACTTTCTATACCATTATCCGTTTGTCTAAATCGAAGTAGATAACGCTTGAGATTTAATATTATAATTGAATTATTACTAAAAACCGATTATATTAACGAACAATACGTAACCGCTTTTCACAACTCAGTAGATTACAATGGTCCGATTGAACAATGTAAATCAATGCAACTAGCAACGACAAACTCGGTCACAAGAACTCTAAGTAAATCACTGTTCAAATTTATAATTAGAATCCAATCTTCACAATCGACTGATCATTGGGAAGTGATCAATGTCATGTATGTCAGGTCCTTCTTGGTGTAGATTGGATCCTATCAACCAAGTTGCAATGTGGCCACTAGCCCAGGTAACTCGACATTGCGTGCACTATGTTGAGATAAGATAGTGGTTGGAGGTAGTCAACAGGAAACCCTGGACCTAGGTTTCGTGCTACTTGGCACTCGTCAGCAAGGTGTATCTGTAATCTTGTGGGAACTGATGGTCCCTGACGGATTCGACCCCGTGTCACTCAGCTTCATAGTCCAATCTGACTTAACACGCATATAAGTAAACGAAATGACACAACCATATAATTTAACTTCCTTGTTCGTCTCCAATCAATAAAATTTAACGGATACATTAAAGACAACTACCTTGTATCCAAAAACACCATATATCAATAGTCATATAACTTCGATAACACAATTCAAAAATAAACTCTTCTTTATCCTAGATTCATTTAATTCTTTCTACTAGCTGTGATTTATCTAAATTAGACAACCTAAATTATACAATTATTGTCCGAAATCTTATAATATTACAATCTCCCGTCGTTGCCTATTAGTTGATCTCAATTTAAAACATTTCAAGTAGAAGGTACTTTATAATTACACTGAGAGAAATTAACAGAATTATATATCTATCTATCAATAAAAGATGTAAATAAATTATGGATTTAAGTGTAAACAATACTGGTACGTGATAAATGGTTCAATATACCAAGAAGTCATAAAATAATAATAATAATAACGAAGAACAGTTATATAATATACCCTTGTGGGCCAGGGTAATTTTACATTGGTTTTCAGGAGAACCAGACACCATCCGGACTTTCACGTGACAACCCAAACAGTACAGCTCAACCCCGTTTAGCAGGGGAATCAGACACCGTATAGGCTTTAACGCTACAATCTGAATATTATAGCTCAATCCTGTGGCACAACCACACAGGTACCAAGCACCCTGGTGGACCAAATAACGAAGAACATGTCAAGATAAATAAAGTCTGTATATAAATACCCATATACATTTCTGAACAAAACCTACTTGATAATTAAAGCCTAAATATAGAAAATTCTCTCTGTTTTTTTTCTTTTCATTTATACAATAAAATACACATCACTAACATATACACTAGTATGTATAAACTAATAAATTTAGAAAGCGCTAGAATACACACCACCTACTGATGTAATAATAAGTGTACTACTTGTAAAAGTTAATAAAACCCGTTAATCAGTAGGTTGTATATATAAATATGATACAGGTTTGCAACTCAGGTGGATACTTTCGGTGGTGTCATGTTTTCTGTGTCACGGGATTTAGTTTTAAAGCTCTCATTATCATTCTGCACGTTTATCTAAAACTCCGTTAGTCAGTAGGTTATATATATCACTATAAAGAGAAGACTCATTACCGACTCAATATTTTAATGTTTTATTTAGAAGTAAATCAATGTAAAAAAAAATCCACACCTAAAGATCAGTTAGTCAGTCAGTCAGCTACAAGGTAGGGTCAGGCACATATATGCATCAGTCCAAGCTGCCATACTTCATTACCACAACAAGATAAACACCAAATTCATAGAGGTACTTAATTCAATGGTGGTCATATATAAAAGAAAGATTGCATATAAGGGTATAGTACAGGAAGAAAGGATTAATTCGTAGAAAGAAAGACATAAAACAATTTTGATCTCACGGTTTATGGGCAGACAGTGAGTGTATACACCTACGTCATTGTGATCGATTCTGAGCCATGTCACCCACAGTTTCTAACCATTGGTTACGACAGTCACGCAAACCCCAACCAGATAGTCTGCATCTATCAACATGGTTCAGACTAAAAGTTAGTGACTTCAAGCACTGATGACACGCTTTGATTTGGCCGCCCCTAACTTTCTTCCAACCATCCCCAATACTAATCAATATTGCGCGTCGTGGTAATCGGTGATGATAATTTAGTAAATATATCGAAAACACAAACAAATCCGTCATTAATCCACAACATAATTATCATCATCACCATTGTCTTCACTATATCACATCGCATAACAGATAGCAGTAAAATTCCGAAGATGAAAGATAACAAGGTTGGAAAAACACAACATAACTATAAGTAGTAAGAAATAGTCAGGAAATTGAGATAAAGCAAATATCATAAAAGAGTGGAGTGAAAAAAACACGAGAAAAGACATCACAGAGTAGTAAAGTGTTTGCAAGTTAAAAGAGAACTACACGTCAAGATTCTGGAATGTCCTTCCAAAAGATGATCGGATGGAATATCTTCGGCTAGTTCCGAACTTCTTAAAGCTTCCTTGAGTTTACCCGGAGGGGGGCAGTAAAGTATCAGAGAAATAGTTGGTATCAAATAGTCTTAGTAGATAATAATCAATGCACAAAGTGCCACAAATGTATGTTAGCCCATGTTGTCATACCACAGCAACACGATCACATGAAATTAACAAGATGAATAGATAGAAGAGATTGAAACAGCTGTGATCGTAATGATCACAAGAAAGATTAAACACCGAGAACGTGATTAGAAAACATAAGATGAAAAGGTATGTATGAAAATATGCTAAAAGAAAGTGAATGAATCTGCGCTCTTGTGATTTATTATGAATTATGTCATCTAACATTTCCAATCAGTGACCACATTTATTACACATATCCCAACTAAATAGTTTCAATATATCAACACATTAAAGTTCAATAGTTAATGACATTAAATCACATATGTGTTTGGTGGCCCTTAACTTTCCTCTAAACTACTTCTCTACATCAAATAACATTGCCTACTTCTAAAAATACTGTTTAATATCTCTTAAATATATTCCATGTGAACTGTTGGAAATTTTCTAAAGTTAACAATACTAAAAATAGATTGAAAAGTAAAGTAATATTTAATGGAGACCATACTAATCTGAAGCTCGTGTTTGTTATGGATACGTCTCATTTAAGGTAACGTTGGGAACAGTTGCCTTAAACTAGTACAGTTCTCACTCAACAACTCACTGGATATAAAACCCAATGTGAATATTACTTATACATTACGCTAATCTTTATCAGAACTATAACCTTGCGCTCATTAGTGAGTGACCGGAATAACTTCCTTGAGTTTCTGTGAGGATTCGTCACTGGTGAAGTTCGACTATGTCACGCAGGAAGAAGTTATCACAAGTACCATAGGATGGTTATCATGGTATGTCCAGAAGTCATTGAGGTTAGAAATATGTACGACTTAGATTCCTAATTTTTAAGTAGCAAATTTAGAGCTTTGATTAATCACTGAGCAGTGACCAGTGTATGTTTGTCTAATCTGGACTGGAGAATCGAATTCTATCAATTAAGTTGCAAGTGGTCACAAGTCTAAGTGACTATGCATTGCGCCTAGTATAATTTAGTATTACATCCCTGGAGTCAGTTGGGAGGATATTCTAGATTTAGGCCTTGTGGTCGTTGGTAGTACTCGTCAGAAAGGTGTATGAATCATACTATGAAAGAAAAATTTAGAATAATACAATTCCCAAAAATGACAAGAAATGGTGATGATTTACACATACCAAATCTTTCGCATATATTGATGCACCATAATCCAATAGTACTTCAACAATATCAGCATGACACTGTTGTGCAGCCCAATGTAAAGCTGTCCAGTGATTCTAGTAAGTAAAAACAGAACAAGAGAAAAACTTATGCATTATAAGTGGAAAAAACCATTGTTATTTTGAAAGTGATTTGCAAAAACACGGGGTTCGAAATATTTCGTCTTTTACAATCCATAACTATCATCATTCTACTATCACAATGATGTATTACCTAATCACATGACACACTCGTACTTAATATATATATATATATATATATATATATATATATATATATACACGTCTCGTGATTACAATAATATTGCTGAATATAAAAGGACGCATCACTCGATATATCAAGGGTGAGTAATAAACGAGGAGTGACACTTGTGCTGTTAAAGGTATGAGGGCAGTTTTTACTACCCGATTGCCCGCACCGTGGAAGGGTTCTTCTGGAGGTACCTGAAAAGGAAATTGGATTAGAGTTGGTCTTAGTGACCTGAGAGCGTGACCGCAGTACCCAACGGACAACTGCTTGAGACCGGTCACACACGACCTTTCGTGTTAGCAACTTACTTGTTGGGAACTTACCGCCAGAGACGGAAATCCGTGAGATAAGGCGAGGTGTGCATTTTTAGGGTCGACCTTTTCTAACCCTACCCTTCCTTGTAGGAAGGCAGCATCAGTGTTATGCTAGTTGCCTAAAGGAAACACCTTACTACAATCACACCTCTGTACATTCAGCAGTAAGACTTCACTCTCGGGCCTTGGGTTTGCTACTTTTAGTCTTACCACTCTTCAACCAACCTGTCTGGAGTGGTAGAACCTTGAGGAACGATTGTTCGAACCAGTGTAGCCCGACTGGTTCATCACGATAAGCAAGCCTGATCATCACGTAAAGGTAGCAGCAACGGTTGGGAGGATTGACACTAAGGTCACTCTAATGTATATATGTAGCTATCTGAATCATCCTGGGATCTCCCAAAAAAACACACATGACTTGCAAGTATGATTACGTGAGTTTTCGATAGGACAACTTCTAGAGTCACTTTATATAATCCTTTTGCATAAATGAACTAATCAAACGTTCAGAGTATGAATAATAGCTGAACAAGACTGCGGATCATACCATATAGGTAGGAAACGAATTCACAGATCATTCGTTGAAAATACCTTATTTAGTGATATGTAGAATAATGAAAGTATATTGCTAACCATTTCTAATGTTCAGTAGTTTTCTAATTAAGATTGACTAATTTGCAAATGAAAAACATGAGATAAAGATTATGGAATTTTTAGCGAACAAATACTTTGTGGATTAAAGCTGTTACCTTGTCAGTGACGGAGACATTAACGCCACGATCCAACAGTGCTTTGACAAGTTCCAAATGTCCATGATAGCAGGCAAATAGAAGTGGGGTAAAGTCAGCCTGAAAATAAATTTTATCAAAATCATGTTTTCATTCTACAATGACAAATCAAATGTATTCCTTGTATTAGTTCTCATTACGAAATCATATCAGAAGGGGTTTTGTGGAGATTCATCAACCAATAAACAATCATTTCGTCCTAATTTGCGACTTCTTAGCAATTCTCAATCATAAATTCATACATATGTTAAAACTGAGAACTTTCAAGTCACAAATTGGAACAAAACAGCTGTTTAATGCTTCTTATCTTTCGACAGTTCTTTGGTTGGTGACAGTTCATGATTAAAACTGAAGCTTATTTGGAAACACTTAATAGATATTTTATTCCTTTCAATAACTATATTAATTTACATTATAAAATTACTTACTTCTGAATCCAAGTCATTGTGAGAACATGCTCTTAAACTCATATTATCCAAATCAATAGAAGTTCCACAATTATCTATTATAGTTTCATTTAAATTTAGATTGTCATCAATAGTAGTAGAATTAGTAGTAGTAATGGGATTAGGCTTGCAATCATTTATACTGACTAATGCTTCTCGTTTATATTTATTCATACATTGAAGAAGTAATTCGAAATTTTTAAGAATTCGAACAGAATCTTTGGATTTAGTTCGGCATAATTCATGTAGTGGAATTCTCCCATTCTACAGATTTGAAAATAAACAACTACTTTGAAATAAAGTATGAAAAAGGATCTTATTAAGACGTTTGAAAATATTTCAATGGCTGAAGAATTCTTAAACTATTCACTTCAGGTCTGTTGTGAGATATCAGCTCACTGAAGACAATGGTATACGGTGGCTCAACTTCGTGGGTTGGTTGAAGTTAGACATTAACACCGTTGGATGCCGGTTCAGTGGTCTAGTTGGTTAAGCGCCTGGCGCGAGACTAGTAGATCCTGGGTTCGAATCTCGGGCGGGTACGGGATCGTGGATGAGCACTGCTGAGGAGTCCCATACTAGGACGAAGAGGCCGTTCAGTGCTTCCAGGTTTCCCATGGTGGTCTAGCTTCAATTGACTCATGATTTCAATCTGTGAAATATTCACTTTGTTCAAAACACAACTGGAACCAGAATTAAGATGACATTTATAAGTGTAGTCGTTCACTTTATTATTGTTATTGTCAGAATATAAATAGATGTTCATATAAAATACAATTCAATAGGTATTTACAAATGAATGTGGTTTTTAGGCATATGCACAAATGGTCGACTCGATTTTGAAAATAAAGATGACTTAAACTAGAAATATTGATGATCATTTTGATAAGGAATATCCATTTTTTAAGTGAAATATAATCAAATGTTCATCTTGAAAAGTAAAACGGATTGAATGTATATGAGGTCATAAGAACATAACGACTGAAACTACAATGTTGAAAATTAGTTATGTATAACTGATAATACACTAACTAAAGTGTATGGTCTAATTTATCCTCAATGCTATTAAAGGAATGAATGCGGTTTTCGTTTCCGGATTTCCCTCATCCCACGAAGAGTTCCAGCCAATACAGCAAAACCTAGCCACTAGGACAGGTAAGCCCGAATATCACATGACGGTAACAACCACGTTTCAAGTGTTTTCATAATATTTACATTGCGAAACTTGTTACATGAAGTGCTAAGAAGTCAATCATGTGCACAAAATTGAATTAACTACCTTTAAACTATTATTAGGACTGTTATATAGCGTTTGGACACTTCCACTCACGCGTTCACCTCTTCAAAATAATAACTGGGAATGAAAATATTACAATCTCCACAAATTCCCATAGGAACTAAATCGCTTTACACGCAAAGTGAACCACGTCAGGAGACTATATCTCAAAAATAATTCATGTAAAATGAGTCATATATTGGTAGACATTTGAGAACGAGCTATGGAGAAGGTATCAAATAAATTAACTCAACTTGTTAAGTGAACTCCTTTAGTAATGAATAGAAATTGCAACATGAAATAAGAAAAAGGTTATCATTTCAACATTACGTAATACCTTATTCTTCAAAAATGGACTTGAACCATTGGCCAGTAGCATTTCAGCTATAGATGGATGATTCCAATAGACAGCATTAAATAACGGTGTCCAACCATTTTTATTGACTATATCAACATTTACACCCGCAGATAAAAGCATTTGAGTATTGATTTCATTGCCTGACATAGCAGCATGGTGCAAAGCTGTATTACCTGCCTAGAATATCAATTACAAAGTGAACGTATATATACTTACGGAATCAAGTGCATTAACATCTGCTCCTGCTCGAATAACCATCTGTAAAATACTAGGTTTCCCTTGGGAGCAGACATGTATAGGATAGCATTCGTACTAGACAAATAATATTTTAAGAAGAAACGTACCACATAGGACCTCCAATTAACATCCACACCAGCTTCGATCAACCTCTTAGCAGCTCCTTCACGTCCGAAACTGCAAGCGATCCAGAATTGTTCCTGTTTAGATATATAACGCATGGTAAGAATTCGATGCACGTTGATTTTGATAAACCTCGGGTCAACATCTACTTAAAACAGCTCTCAGAAAAATTTGTAACCTATAAGGCAATAAACACAAGGGTCAACATTATCTAAACTCGAGTGGAAAACGTTTTAAAATCTGAAAACAAGTGAGACGCGGAAATTATGGATTTGAAGATTTCTAATCGATGCATCTAAATAGGAAGATGAAAATCTGCAACCGTTTTTTTGGAGAACTATATTAAAAGAAGGATCAGTCAGTCAACCAGCTACAAAGTAGGATCAGGCACATATATACATCAGTCCAAGATGCCATACTTCATTACTACAACAGGATAAACACCAAATTCATAGAAGTACTTAATTCAATACTGGTTATATATAAAAGAAAGATTGCATATAAGGATATAGTACAGGAAGAAAGGATTAATTCGTAGAAAGAAAGATATAAAGCAATTTTGATCTCACGGTTTATGGGCAGACAGTGAGTGTATACACCTACGCTATGTTACCCACAGTCTCCAACCATTGGTTACGATAGTGACGCGGACCCCAACCAGATAGTCTGCATCTATCGACATGGCTAAGACTAGAAGTTAGTGACTTCAAGCACTGATGACACGTTTTGGTTTGGCCGCCCCTAACTTTTTTCCAACCAACCCCAACACCGGTTAGCGCCTCCAAATGCCCTGGTACGGCGTATATAGCCTCTGTCGGGGAAGTCCTACTCACTGCCTTCTTGCACCACGGGTGTTGTTTACGAAAATGAGAGGACGAAAAGCGGATGTCCGGCGCTCTAACCGGATTCCAAACCAATGGTGCACATGGGCTCCAGTATCCTGCGGGAACAAATGGCGCATGAACCAATCGTTGGTCACCGGCTGCCATGGGACTGCATCTCCTTACGATGCTCCACTGCCTTGTGGATCAGACTGTCAAGTCGAAGGCTCGGGAAGTGGCCACCTAAGAAAACCATCTGCTTCGGTTTGGGCACCCGGGCAGTACCACAGCCCTCACACGTATCGAATGAAATTTGTGCGGCGCATATGTATTTGGTTCCTCTTTGTACCAATATCTATGTGTTGAAATAAAATAAAACACCGGTAAGGATTGCGCGTCATGGTAATCCGTGTTCGGGCATATGCAACACATGGCCCAACAACCTCATCAACTGACCTACCAACATTCCCTAATAGCCTACGTCTAACCTCACTATTACTTACCCGGTGATCCCAGCACATGGAGCAACATTTCTAAGAATGATGGTCTGGTCAGTCGGTCAGAACAACGTAGAACTTCGTACGTACGTACGTACAAACATCAGTTCGAGTTACCACACCATATTAGCACAGAGATGCAGTTGTCGATTCAAATCCCGTAGTGGTAGAGGTAGTAAGAGTATAAGCACTAATCGGGAAGATTAGGGTTTGAAGTTGTTATTTAAAGAGTATAATCCAGCGAAATAAATTCGGAAAGAGGAAAAAAGGAACATGAAGAATTCAGAAGATTAGAATTTGGGAGAACACAAAGAGTGCATGCACCTGTGCCATTGCAAACGATTTTGAGACATGTCATTCAGGGTCTCTAACCATCGGTTGCTATCATCTCGCGGTCCCCAACCAGGTAGTCCACACCTAGCAACATGACTCAGTTCACTTGTCAGTGACTTCATGAACTTGTGCCATGTTTTGGTTCGGCCGCCCCTAGCTTTCTTCCAACCTACTCCTATACCACTGAACATAGCACGTCGAGGCAGTCGGTCGTAGGGCATACGTAACACATGTCCCAGCCATCTCAACTGATGAAGTTTCACTACTTCATCAATTGATTTGCCATCCCGTTTCCTAACAACTGTGTTACTTACTCGATGGTCCCATGATATACGAGCAATGTTTCGAAGACACCTATGATCAAATACAAGTAACCTACGGATATCCTCTACTCTTACCGGCCATGTTTCACTGCCATAAAGTAGGACAGGACGAACTGCTGTACAGTAAACACGTCCTTTGGTTGATAGACGGATATCTCGCCTACGCCATAAATGACGCAAGTTGGCAAAAGCTAGTCGAGCCTTATGTATCCGTGCTGAGATTTTGTCCCATACCAGACCACAAGGGCTGATGAGACTTCCAAGATAAGTGAAGCGGTCGACACACTCAATTACTTCACTCCCTATCATTAGTTCGGGTGCCAATGCAACCCAATCCTGAAGCAACATTTTACATTTCGAGAGGGAGAATCGCATCCCTAACATGCATGCGTTATTACTTAGAGTGGTCAGAAGACTCTGCATTTTGTCAGCATCTTCAACAAATAAAACTATGTCATCAGCATATTCTAAGTCAACAAGTGAAGCTCCCGGTAGAAGTTCAACCCCTGGAAATATAGATCAGAAAAGTGTTATTTCTAAAAGCATGTCGACGACAAAGTTGAACAAGAATGGAGAGAGTAGACAACCCTGACGAACACCACTTGAGGTAATCAATTCTGATGACAGTTCGCCATAAGCTCTCACTCTACCAATTGTGTTCGAATAGAGAGCCTTTAAATTAACACAAGCTTAAATGGTACAAAGGAAACAAAGCGGAATATTCTTAATACAATAAAAATTATAATAGGCCTCTGTATTTCAACGTCAATTTATCCTTGGTCAAGGTGAATTTACATAACCTGTCACTGTATTAATTCGTGCGTCAGAATGTGAATATGGAAGATGTATTTATTTGTAATATGAAGTAGTGGGTTGCATAAATGTACCAGATTCTACGTTCACAACTGAAGATCTCGGCATGTTGCAGATAAATCGTTTGAACATAAATACGAGTACTGAATAATCACGAGAACGGTTACATGTAAGTCAAGAGCTCGTTACAGGTCTAACATGTCTTTGAGAAAAATCCTAAGGTTTTAAGCACATTCACCTTCCGATACACAAGCTTAAACAGTGTTTTTGGACCATTAAGTGAAAAATGACATGAAATCCTGTGATACCATTAAACCTTTGCAGAGATTCAGACAAAACTACCCCCCCCCCCATTTTTTATCTTTAGATAAAACGCTATACTTCATATGATCATTTTGTCAAAGTATTTTAAAGTGAATATTAACAAACCAATTACTGTCTAATATGACAGGTCTTGTCATACGACTGCTACAGATAATTAATACCATTAGCCGTCCTTGTGGGTATACAGAAACAAAAATATTGACGCCTTTTGTAGGAAAGATATAATTAAGAACAAATGCTCGGTGTTCGCAAGTGTATATTTTACAGGAAACCTTAAAACCATAGTTGATATGATAGAACGAGTTGGTTATTTAGAAAGATGAAGCCCCAGGAACAGTTCCCTTCCGTGCAATGTTGGATTTCGTGGGCTAAACATTCTAAAGTAAATCTTCAAGAGCTAAAACTCTGAGATACATAATTGTATGCATGAGACAATTGTCTCAAAGCTTAAGCTTTGTTTGTCCCCTAAATAAATTGGCTACATATGTCCCGATGAGTTAAAGAAGATTATGGCATCAACAAATCCGATTATTTTTATGATGCAAGTTTAAACAACTGATCATATCAAACAAAATTAATCCAGAATGCTAAATTCAACAACTTTATGTGAACATCTGTAAAAAAATTACTATCCATTGACGAGTCCGATAACTTCCTGCAATTTTTTTACTTTCACAAAGATGTAATATGGAAACTTCAGATACTTTCATTACCTTTCGGCTACAAATTCACACCAATAAAACTCCACTCACTGTAACGGAATTTTGAAATTTCATGACCTTGTTAAAAAGGACCAGTGAATATTTAGAACAATTATTGCTGCAAATCACACTTCTATGAAAGTCATCGTCATTTGCAAGTTTTTTAGTGTTCGCATTCATATCTAAATTTTCGGTAGATTTGAACATAGTGGGACTTGCCAGCTAACGTCGAATACTTGGCGCGCTTTTCGAACGGGAAGTTTAGTCCTAAAGTGATTTGCATTTCTCAAACTTTGCTATGTTCTTACGCAACAAAAGTACCATTTCTGACCAAAAGAATCTATCCTGAGCTATACGTTCGGTAGATTACTTTATTTGAGTTTCACCCAATTTAATAGTTAACTGTGGTTTTGCTTCAGCTTACTATTCGGTCTTTTTTCAGTTTTTCACGTAAAGACTAGTTCAGTTTATCTCATCCGTTTTATCTATTTTTGTCTGTTTTCAGTGTGCTTTTTAGTGTATTTTTTACGGTCTTGGGCTTTGCTAGCATCTACAACACAGTTTACGTCATTACAGTCATGAAAAATTCATGCAAAACGACCTGGATACCGTTTTGCTGTTACATCTGGCACGCGATGCGACAACGGCAAAAATTGGTTCCATGAAGCGTGCACAGATCTCACAGCAACTGCCTACAACAGACTCAGCAAGTCGGATCATAAGTGGGAATGTGTTACGTGCAGCGCGGATGCTGAAGTCTTGCTGAGTATTATCATTGTCCTACTGACAGGTCTGCTGAGCAAGTTGTCGACAAACTTGGGAAAAGACAGTCAAAAAATGGGCAGAAAAACAAGACAGCGCATTAAAAACGAGAACAGGGATGTCGACAGGTCTACCAACGACGGAGCATGCAACAGCATTAATGGTGACACGCTGAAACTCAGCACCATGATTACGACGACGGTACTCGACTCTCTCAGCAAACTCGGGTCTCGCAGCTCAAGGTCCTTGAACGTGACAGTGGTTCCCAAAACCTCTGTATGTGATTGGACCCATGTCAAAAGAGCTAAAAAGGGCCAGGCGTCACAGTTTAAGTTGAACATCCCAGCTGTTAAACGGAAGTCAACTGGTGATCTGGTCGCACTGTCCACCCCCAAGATTGTCCGTCCGGTCATCAAAGAGCCAAAGATTCATAAACGTGCTTTGACCCCCAAACAACAAGGTGCTAAACCTGAGCGCACCGGAAAAGCTGGGACGACACTAACGGTTTGCGATGACTCTCTTAGAGTCATGAACCTCAAAGACAACCCTGACCTTCCTCTCAGTCTGCAGGACAGAAATGATGGGATGCTCTGGGGAGAATTGAACAAGAAACTTGGACTTCCAAGAATGGAGCCTTTGACAGTCACACGGCTCACTCGGGGAAAGGAATCTAAGCATCAAAATCACTCGAGGCTACTTCGTGTAACACTTAAGAATGCTACCGACGTAGAGGACGTCTTACTAGCGAGTCATTTACTGAAATCAGATGGGAATGTAAGAATGCTGCCTAACATACCGTATTCTGAGCACAATCTCATCTGGAACATCCACAAAGAAACTCGCGATCAGTTTTTCCGCGGGAGGAATATAATCGTGCAAGGTATACTTCAAAGTATCTAGTCACGGTCATTTACAGGAAGCCAATTGCCGACATCGAGTACGACAGTCGTATGCTGAAAGGACTATCCCGCTCTACTCGTCTCGGTTTCACACACATCCTGATTCTAGGGGACATTAATCTCCCTAGAGTCAACTTCGCGGAACACACGTATACTGGAGGTGACAACTCAATTGAAGCTCGATTCTTCAACCTCATCGATGACTTCGGATTATACGAAAATGTGAGGTCGGCAACTCGTTGGAGAAACAGTCAGACACCATCGCGCTTAAACTGTGTATTCACAAACGAAGAATTCCTAGTTGACAACCTCTCGATCCTGGCTCCCCTGGGAAAAAGCGATCATGTCGTCATAGCCTTCAGTTTTGTCATCAAAACTAAGCTAAGGTATCCCAACAATAAGTTGCGTTGGAATTTTAAACGGCTGAATGTGCCAGCTCTACATGACTATCTACAACAGGTGGTTTGGGATGTTCACCCTCAACTCGACGTGGACGGTCATTGGGACTTCTTACTGCATGCGCTCCTATGTGCTACAAACCATTCAGTTCCTCAAACGGTTCCCAAAAGCTGCGAGCCACCTACAGTAATCAAGAACCGTACCCTTCGCCTGCTAAGCCGCAAAAGGCACTGTTGGGTGGAATACAAACGAACTGATAACGACGGAGCGTATAGGCAATATAAACATATAAGGAACATATGCACGAAGGCTATAAGAGAAGACAGGCTTCAGTACCAGACAAAGCTTATGGACAAATTTGCCTCTAACCCTAGAAGCCTATTCCGCTATGCAGCCTCTCTTCGTCAAGCCAAAACTGGAGTTTCCCAACTGCTAGGTCTTAACGGCCCGACCAACAACGATAGCGACGCCGCTAACCTTCTGGCTGAACAATACTCCCAGACATTTCAACCGACCTACATCAACTTTACTGATGACAGTTTCATCTGCAATTCCACAGGACTTTCCGAAGTAAACCTAAGCGCTGACTGGGTGTTCCGGAAAAAGCAGCACTTAAGATAAGACACTTCTCCTGGCCCGGATATCATCCATTCTGCCATACTGAGGGAAGCAGCCTCAATCCTGGCAACGCCGCTTAGCGTGATCTTCTCATACTCGCTAAGCCGAGAAAAACTACTGGAAACTTGGAGGCTGGCTCACATCACACCAAATTTTAAAAGAGGTCGACGAAGCGAAACTTCAAGTTACCAACCGGTGGCTCTTCTATCAATACCTTCGAAAATCATTGAGTCCCTGTTATGCGGTGGTATAAAAGACTATTTACTGTCCATAAGTTTCTTCTCACTCCAACAGCATGGTTTCCAGAGGGGTTACTCTTGTATAAACAACCTGCTGACGGTGGTGGACAGATGGACAAGCATCCTCGATCACAAGGGGAAGGTTGACATCATCTACCTAGATTTCTCAAAAGCTTTTGATAAGGTTAACCATATATGTCTTATCAATAAGCTCAAACGATTGGGTATCAGACCACCTCTAATCGACTGGCTCACTTCATACATGAAAAATCGACATTTTAAGGTCAGAATTAATTTCACTTTATCACAGGCTATGGAATGTCCTAGTGGGGTCCCCCAGAGCTCAGTACTAGGACCTCTTCGTTTCTTGATTTACATAAATGATATTCCTCAACAGGTAACGTCAGACTTAGTACTTTTTGCTGATGACGTGAAACTTTGGGGAGAGATACGCAACCAAGAGTATATACTGGCACTCGATTTCAAAGTACCTAGTATGGATTAGCTTGTCATATGCAGGTTCTATGACTACTTTGGTGCCCATACAACACAAGCGACTCTAGAACAATAATAAATTAGTAAAAGTAGGTACAAGGATTAGATTGTAATCATCACTCTGTTGGCCAGTTCATGGCGTGAAATTAATCGATGCTCGTTGGCTGGCCTGACCGTCGATAGGGTCGACAAACCACTCGATATTGTGACCTGAATACCGGATGATTTCCCTAAATCCATGAAATTTTACTGGTCTTGCAAAATATTCAATGCAAACCCGGTAAGTGCAAAATTGTTCTGCAAAAACTTGAAAATGGATACTAGGTAGAATTCAAGGGAGTCGCCGACGGTACCGTTTATCGGCATTTCAAACAAACCAAAACTAACGCGATAAAAAATATCAGTAAAAGACAGGGATTGATGTTAGTTTATTTTGACCGGCGGATTATTCTCCAGTTCGAGAGACTTATTGATCATACTGTTTCTCTTTGACTAACCAAAAACTGGTGCCTTCAAGCCTTTAGATAATAGTGGCACGAACGACAGAGAGGATGATGCGTCAGAACTTCTATCTAACTGGTATTTCTATCGTCCAAGGTTTATATCAGCAATTTTTTACTTTGTTCAGTCGGAAGTCCCTGAAATTCGAATCTTTAGCTTTTCATACTCTAATGAATACTATATTATCAGGATAAACAGACAACTATGCATAAACGATAACTTGATGCACGAGAGAATATATATGAAGATGGAGTTCTGTGAGTATATCGTTGATCACAAAAACATTGCAAAGTACACTTAAAATCTGACAGGGACAACTTACGTGAAACCTGAGTTCGTACCTGTCTACTGAAGACTTGTAACAGCTTAGGTTGGTTGGTTAAGAGTTGACCCCAAACAACCAAGCATATGCCAAAACAGTATTGTTCAAGTATTCATCCACTTCCTTGTTTTGTATAAGCGTTATATTCCCTATTATCTTATATTGAATGTTGAGAGCCTTTGTTTGTCTGAACAGATAATCCCACGCTCCACTGTCGTCGCGCTGAGATCGAAATAAAGACCTATTCACTACTTCTCTGGTTTCTTCTATCAATAGCACGAGGGTTACCTTAAGGCACGAAATTGGTGAGCCCTTTTTGAACACAAATTTAACCTCATTTCTGTTATTAACATTTTTTTTACTTAATCGTAAAAGCAGACCTGATTATCCGTAAACTAATTTGAGTATATAACTAGTGTATTCCGTATTATCTTAAGTTATTCGTGTTATAGTAACCACTTTTTGTGCTAACTTTATTGTTATATTTGCCACATACCTCATGTCAGACTCAATAGAAACCCATAATCTGGAGGATTTGTCACCAGTGGAGATAGACACTGTTATGACTACGAAATCCCGACTTCCAGAATTTGATCGTAGTGATCCTGAGTTGTGGTTTGCTCAACTAGAGCATTATTTCACGAGACACAATATCAAATCTGAAGGGATTCGCTATAGAGACTTGTGTTCTATCCTTCCTCCTTCAGTCGCCAAAGAAGTCCGTGACTTGATTTTGAGTCCACCATCACCACAACCATACACCATCTTAAGACGAGAGATAATGAACCGTTTATCATTATCAGATGGTCAAAGAATCCAAAGACTTTTTCAAGGTGAAACACTAGGTGATCGGTCGCCGTCACAGTTTTTACGTCACCTCCAAGTCTTAGTGGG